TATCTACCTTCTAAGCTAGAGCAGGGAACACCCAGGACATTAACAAACTGCTTATTCCATCTTTCCCCAGGGAAAGCCCTCCTGAAAACTCCAATTGGATGAAAAGAATGCTCAAGAAGAACAAACAAAAGACGAATGGCACCAAAAAAGCTTTCCTGAGACATCCGCCATCCAAAAAACCAGCCTGCAAAGCACAGTGAGCATGACTAGTATTTCCTACCTTCCAAGGTGGGTGGGGTGGGGGTGGGGGGACAACAAACTATAGAGGTTGACATGGGTGTTTTGGTGATGGGGGCACTGTGGTACGATCACTTGACGGGAACATCCTAAACTTCCCAGATTAACAGCAATTATGAAAATCAATATTATGTCAATTTTAAAAAAGAAAAGGAAAGGAGACAAACAAAGACGATAGGTTGGTAGCTGGCAAAGCCATGACCTGAATGCATGTTGCCTCCACCACTGTTGACCTCTAGGTGACACAGACTCCTGGGGTGAAAGGGGCACTCGTGTGAGAGTCAGAGGTCACAGGGTCAAGTCCTGATTTTTCCCTCAGGGCAAGACAGGGCTGTGGGTGCACTGGAAACATGATGGGGTAAGGCATTTTGGTTTGGGTGCCATGGCAATGAGGTTGGGTTTCTTTGGTGCTGAGATGGTTGGTTGATTGAATGATCGATCGATTTAGTTGAGCTTATGGGTTGCCATGGCCGGAAGAACACATGGGGAACTAGGGAATGTCTCAGGAAAAGAAAGCTGGAAAGAGCCTATCAGGGAATTTGCATTCTGGGTGGGTGATCTGGGGAAGGATCCCAAGATGGAGGACCTCACTGTAGACTGGAAGCTACTGTTAGAAAGTTGGGTGGGTTTCTGTGGTTGGGTATTTGGGGAGTAGTACAGTGACCTTGTTTTTGTGATTAGGGGAAATTAAGAATTGGTCTTGTTCTTTTTTTTTTAAGGATTTATTTATTTGTACATACAGAACTGGGGTGCAGGCCAGAGGCTTAGGGGTGGTGAGAGGCTTCACCAGAGACAGAGTGGGGAGCAGAACAGGCAGATCGACGAAGTACACTGCTGAGGGGAGCAGCGGGCGGGTCAGGAGAGGTCTGCCGCGCCATGTGGTCACCTCCGGGGCAGGCGGGAATCGAACTCATGCGGAAGTGGCTTTAGCTTCTCAGTGCAGTGCTTTAACCTGCTGTGCCACCAGGGAGGGCCTCTGTCTCGTTTTTATCATGGTCTCAGAGTAACTACATCACCAGGTTTAAACAACAAAATGACACAGTCAAATCTGGAGTAACCCAAGAATGTGCAAGTCTACTTTCCAGCATTTCTCCAAGCTGGGCTCCAAGGTGTCTCCCTTGTTTCCCAAAAGGACAAGTGACTTGCCAGGGTCACACAGCAGCTGGAGGAGGGTTGGGTACTCAGGTCTGTCACTCACTCCCTCTTTATTGTTTCATTTTCTTTACATGAGCTTCCTTGATTTCTCACACCCAGGTCTGTTCCCTGCTCACTGGACTTCTCTCTGCTCTCTGAATCAGAGAGAGTTTGGGTGACCTACAGGACTCATCCCAGCAGGATCCAGGAATACAACTGCCCTGAGGTGTGGAGGTGCCCGGAAGTCCCCACAGAATGGATGCTACATGTCCAGTCCCGTGACCCCTGAGCCCCAGTTTTCGCTCTGTCCCCACTCGTCTCTTCCTGTCAAGGCCAACAGTATACAGAGCAAACAATACAGTATCTCATGCATTAAGCCCCTTTCTGGAGAGTCTGGCCATCAGTGGCTGCAAAATTGTGATAAAATACTGATTTTGGTGTGACAATTAGCTGCCAATAGTTAGAAATCCACAAAGCTACAAAATGTCATAAATAACAAAAAAACTAGAAATAGCTATGACATGTAAGTCACTATGAAGTGCCTACAGCTTTGCGTGGTCTTGCACAGTGTGGAGTCTGCACAGCTGTCCTGGACAGTCAGGCAGCCACCCCACCGCGACCCTTTTCTGGAAAGCCAAACTATACTCTTGTAAACCAGCGTTTACAACAGTGTTTCAAACATTCTTTTCTCAGTTCTTGCTTTGCAAAACAGAGAGTTCCATTTGCAGATCCTTGTAAAATAAAACAAATCTCCCAACTGGCTTTTGGTATACATTGAGATTTCCGATTCTCATGCAGTGATACCTGGCTACTTGCTCAAGGCTTCCCAAGGCATCTGAAGCTGTGAGGGATGTTCTCCATGGAAATACAGGGAGTATCGTCCTAGATGGGAGTTAGAAATGACAAATCTGTGTTGTTTTTCTCTAGGAAGCTGTGAGCCGAGAGAGAAAATCTGAGCTGGAGCGGGAAAGAACCTGAAGACCCAGAGGCCGAGTCGTGTCCCTACTTCTCCAATGCCTTCCCCTCAGCCTAGGCTTTCAGGGAGCAGGGGTGACACCCCCCACACACGCCTGTTGGTGTAGAAGGTCCCATTTCCCCAGGTGGGCACCTCCCTGTCTAAATATCCTGTCAGCTTCCTGTGGCCTTCCAGCCCTCTCACTACCCTGCTCTGGACAGATGGACGGGCAGATTCCACCTCACCAAAGAGCACCAGCACAGCCTCTTTCTGGCTCCCTACTCCCAGCCTGAGCCTGAGTTTGCTTCTTTGAGATGAGCCAGATCAACCCTGGTTCCCCCGGACCTAGTTCACAGGCTAAAGCCCTTGGGGGTCAGGCAGGACTGAGTCACGGACACACTTTCCTGTTTCCCGAGGAGTCCAAAGACCAAGTTCTCCATTTGTTTTTGGTTTTAATTCTCACCGAGGACTCAGGGTTTGACCTGGAACCCCTACCTTCTGCTCTAACCACTCGATGGGATTTCTGACGCAGCTGATCAGCCATGCTGCCTGCATCAGAGACTTTGACGCTCCCAGGGAGGATGTGATTACCTGGTGCGCCATGTTGAGTGGGCCTCCCTTGCCTACCCAGGCCGAGGACAGTTGTGGAGGAATTGGGAGGCCCAATGTCCTTGGCCCATCTCTCTCTCCCTGAGTGAGGGCAGACTATCTGTTATTCACATTTCAGTGAAAATGTTCCCTCAGCCTTAATTTTTCAAACCTATCCAGAAAGTAATAATAGTAATAATAGTAATTAGCCACATTGCTTCCCAGAGAGCAGATGGCCTGCAGACCGTCAGGTCTGAGAAGGAAGTCAGGCCTACCCACAGGCTCGGATCCATTTGTTTAATATCCTGGGTTGCAAAACCCAGAAGACGGAGGAAGAAGAGTCTGACCTGGACTGACCCCACCCTTGGAGGGTGGGGCAGTGGCAAGAAGACTCCACTTAACAGGACCTTGTCAGGGAGCACGATCCACAGCATGCCCGTTGACAGGCTTGAGAAGACCCAGAGTCTCTGGGGTCCTTACACTCACTGCCGACTTTGATTCTGTGGCCCATACTGGTCAGGGAAAGTGCCTTGGGGGTTACATGGTGGGGAGAAATGGACCCCTGGGATGCCCACCGCCCCTGACTGCGGTCTGCCTTGGCCTCCCTCAGGGATGGTCTAACTGTTGGCAGGTGGCTTTGTGCCCAGAGCCCCTGACACATGTGAACCAAGGAGAGAGGGTTTCATTTTGTATATCCGGGATGTTTGCCCCCTGGTGTACAAACGAGTCGTGAAAGTGTTAACTGTTGTTTTAATGCAAAGTCTGTATTGAGAGCCCAGGTGTTCGTGTGTCACAGTTATGCCATTAAATCTCCTTGTGGTTTCCTTTACTTCAATTAATTTCCCTCTTTCCCATTTTGAGGTAATGAGGAGAAGTGTTCTTGCATTCATTCCAGCATTGCCAGATAAAGTACAGGACACCTTGTCCAATTTGCATTTCAGAGAAACAGCCAAGAGTTATTTAGAGTAAATACGTCTCTAAGGTTGCAATTATTAGTGATATTGAAATTCAAATTCAACTAGGCTGCTCAAATTTTTATTTGCTACATTTAGCAACCTCAGTGATTTCTCTTCTTTTCATGCCCTTTTTAAAAAGCCAGCACTAACGGATTATTGTTTTATATGCTGGCCAAGTGCCTTGAGTTGGGGAACTTTGGGGTGCCATGGTCAAGGCCAGCACACCATCTGGCCTTGCAAATGTGCACATTTGATGCCTACAACCCAGGCTTCCCTGTGACCCACTATCGCCCTGAAACACAAACAGTTCTCAGCGGCTCCACCACTCCACCTCCTTCTTATGGTGGAGATTTAGGTTCATAATACCCTGGAGGTGTTTGCCCACCTTTTAAAAACCTTTCAAAGCATCAGGGTCTCACACACACACACACACACTGCAAAGGTCCTGGAAGCCTCCAGGGTCAGTTGCGACAGGCCCATCCTTACACGATGCCCATCTGTGTTCCTGTTGGCACAAAATTCTCCTAACCAGTCAGGTCTGTGAACATCTGGAGAGCAGGGACTGTGGCTTTTGTATCTGTGTATTCCACCAGACCTGGCACATAGTAAATGCTCAGTAAATACTAGTCGAATAAATGAAATAGTGGCTTAGCTGTGTGGATGGAGGCACTGAAGTGGGGTTCTAGGAGCTGGGTCCTGGCCTGGTTTATCTCTAGCTGCTCGTGTGGCCTTGAACAAGGCACCTCTACCTCTGAGTCTAGGCTTCCTGTCCTCGAAGTGAGGACAGGGCTGCTGCCACTTCTCCAGTGCTCGGAGCGTTAGGTGAGGGCTGGGCCACGGCCATGTGTTCACAGAGAAGACAAGCTGTGTACACAGAAGGATCCCCTTACCCAAGAAGTTGCTGACAGAACTCATCAGTTGTCTGAGAGAGGGGAAAGGAGTTATTCCTGAGATAAAATTAGCCTGGTCTGGAGGACAAGTGTCTTATCTCTAAGGTCAGTAGTCTGGGGGTAGCTGGACTAAACCCTGGCCTCTTGATGTCCAACTAGGGCACTTTTTCACTGACTCAAAAAGTTTGTGCCCCAAGGATGAGAACTTCTGAGAGCCACCCCAACACCACCACCCCTAGAGAAAAGGAGATTCACTCTGAAGTCTTGTAGGTACCAGGCTAGCCTGGGTGTGAGGATGGGTCCCCAGCTTGCCTCTATTGTGAATAATCCGGGTTAGACTTTGAGCAAGTTAACTTCTTTATTTGGCAAATAACAGTACAAAAATAAGACTCATATGCCAGCATCGGGAATTTATATCAAAACTTCACACCGTTGAAAGAACACCATTGCAAAAAAGAAGCTATGTACAGAAGGTTCCAGACTCTCCTTTCAAAAATGGATTTTGATCCCTCACATTTTGGGCTGTATTCCTGAACACTACCTGGAATAAATCTATAAATATATCATCTCTCCCCCACTTCTTAGAAGCAACAGTAAGTCTTTCAGAATTTGTTTGCTGGACTCCCTAAAACTTTGCCTCAGATTTGAAGTCAGTCCTCTCTCAGCACCCAGGGCCTCAGTATCTCAGAACCTTGTGTCCCCACCAAACCCCACCCCAACTTCCTTGCCACTGAATCAACACAGCAATAAAAAGTTCACCAAAGATAATAAAACTGAGTTTCCATCCAGTTTTTAACCCGCTCTCTTCTCTGGCTATGTGTCCCATGCAGTGTCCAAGGGAGAGAGATGTCTGCTCATGGCCCCATTGGGCATGCAAGCTTTCAGGCTGCCGTCCAAGCCAAGCTGTTGAAACTTCATCCTGTAGGATTCAGAATGACAAGCAGGCCCTCATCTCACCTTCCTGCAGAACCAAAGTGCCTTTCTCAAGATACTTTACTTCCATGAGGTGGAAAGAGAATTGTCATCATAAGTCTTCAAATCCACATTGTCTGGATTTGAAGCACATAGCACTTCTGGGGTATGGCGACTTGAGCAATGTACACCCATGCAATTGTCCATGGCCACCTAGCTTGGAGACCTCCCTTATTTCCTAAAAGCTACTCAGAATACAACTATCGTAATGACAACAGGCATACACATGACACGATATCGTTTTCAGAAATCTCCACATCCATTTTCTCACTGACTTCCTGGCAAATCTCCATGAGACAAGAGAGGCACAAGTCACCAGCATCATTTTGCTGGCAACAGAGTTGTAGGGCACAAGGTTGAAAGGATTCTGAGAGATCAGGGATCCCCAAGTTATAGGTTATCCCCATCTGGGACCTCCAGATTTCCTGGGAGGCATTTACAAATCCACATGGGCATTAAGCACTTTGGTCAATTAAGTAAATTATGTTTTGCAGAGTGATGCCCATCTCTTTAAATGCAGGTGGGTATTCCGATGACATTAAATAAAAATTTATTTGAAAACATGGCAGCAAGTATTTTGCATGATAAGAGGTAAAATTTTAGACCCTGTGGATGTAGAAAATCCAGGATAATAAAAAATAAATAAGATTAGCGATTTAAAAACTTTGAAGTCTCTCAAGGAGAGACTTCACCCAAGGGTACCTAAGTGGGCACTAGGGTTGGCCTTGCAACACAAAGTCTCTAATTTCAATGCTCTGGCCCACCACCTGTAGAAGCAGCTTTTGGGCCCTCCTTGGTGGTGCAAGGATTTAAAGCACAGCGCTATGAAGCTATCTGCAGCCACTGCATCACGAGTTCTATCCCTGGCCAGGGACATAGAGTTCTATTCCCTCGCCGACCCACATGGCGCAGCAGACCTCTCCTGTCTCACCTACTGCTCCCCTCAGCAGTCAATCCACCTGTTCTGCTCCCTACTCTGTCTCTGGTGAATTTTCTCACCCCACCCTTATTCTGTACCCTGAATTGTTCCCCAGTTCTTGTATGCATAAATAAATCTTTTTTTTTTTTTTAGTAGCTCTCCCACTTCCTCCTTAATCCCCCAACTTACAGATGGGCACACAATTCCAATTCAGGCCCAGGGCCTCCCAGGCATGCCTGGCAGAACAGCCTGATCTCGGGAGTTCTCCTCCTTCATTCCTTTGTTCATTCAGTAAAGCCTCCAAGGTTGCCTCCTGACCCATGGGGTGTGTTTAGTCACCAAGTGAAAGCACTCACTACCTCCCTTTAGAGAGATATCAGCACAACAGAACCAGAGGGATCTGGTGACACACTGATCCAGCTCATAACCTCTGGTCCAAAGCAGAGAAGAGATGTGGAGAGGGCCTGTGGCCAGCTAAGGCAGGTCAGCAGATGGAGCCCTGGTCTCCTAACACCCAGTCCAGCGCTGATTCCCCACCATGGGCTGCTGCCTCCTGCTTTGTGGAGATCAATTCTCAGTCTCAGTGGACTACCACAGGCGTGCCCAAACATAGGTGATCCCATGGGGTACTGGACACAGGAGAGCAGTTTCCCACACTTGTCTCAGTCATGTCTAAAGCAGTGGACTGGATGGCACGAAGCAACTTCAGAGTCTTCCGGTTAAAGCTTCTGATCATGTGGCTAGTTCAGGAAGTAGCCCAAAGCGTTTGAGTGAAAGGTACGGTTTTCAATCTGGACTTTGGATCTCAGGAGTAGTGATGTTCTAGAGAGAGAAAAACATTGAGGTTAGCCACAATCCATTTCTTTGTGGGCCCCTGGGTCTGATACCAGACTTCATGGAACCCATCGACACCCCATCCTGGCTCCTACCTCTGGGTCTTTGCCCACCTTCCACTCCTTGCCTATGTGTTCGCCTGGTCCTTTCTCCCCACCTGTAACTTCTCTATCCTCAGTGGTTAAAATTAAACATCTGCTACCTCCTGGAAGGCTCCCAGAGCTTGCTTCATTGATTCACAAGCCATAAATTTGGCATTTAGTTGATGGTCAATTTTGTCATGAGAAAACACGTTGTCTTTCCTACTGACCTATAAAGTCTTTCAAGGCAAAACTTTCACAAGCCCTCAACAGTTCAACACGAGGGGGCTCTTAATTATACTGGTCAAGTGAATGAGTGAATAAATAAATGAGTGGTTAGTAAAGCCAGAATATGGAGTTAGAGCCACCAAGGAGGAGAGGACACGTTTCTAAAATGTCTTTCATGCACAATTCAGACCATTTCACCAGCCATTATCTAACCCACCCAAGAAAATAAGTTATCTGTAACAGTCCCCTTCTCCTAGAGAAGACAGGGAGCTTGAGAAAAGAGAGGCCAAGGTCACAAGGGGTGCCCACTGGGAAAACAAGGCAAGGTGGCATAGAGCACTCGGAGGATAAGGTACCAGGACCATGTAAGACCAGTGTCCTGGAAACACTTGGCACAGCTTCTAAAGGAAATTCCAGGAGAGGAAGAATGTCTGAGTGATGGTGATGTGTTGAGAAAAAGCCTGGCTTTCCGGGGGACCATTTGGATGCAAAAGTTCTTATCATGTTTGTCCAACACCAACAAACAGAAAATTCCATTCCTTTGCCATCACCTGCAGTCAAGGCTTCCAGCCAATAGACCTGTCAAATGTTTTAAATGCAGGTGATCCTAAGTGAATTTGAAAAGGGTGGGGAAAGCTGTTAATCTGAGTTCTCCAAGAAACATGAAAACTTACTGGTTAAAAAGCTAGTGATAAATTTGCGCTTTGAAGAGAACCTCTCAGAGACTTAGGGTGTGGGAACTGTTAGGTAAAGCATAAAAACAATCTGAAGGGAGAGTAACAGGAGGGACAAGGCTGTTCTCTATCCATCAACCGAGACAAGGGCAGTGAATTATCTGGGAAATTTTCAGAACGAACTCAGCCATGTCTTAATTCATATATCATCTTCCTTTGCTTTATTATTTAAATTTTAGGATGGTCTAGAACTGGGACACCAAGCAGCAGAACCCATGCAATAAGAGGGCCAGCTGAAGCCAGCCCAATAATTCCATACCGATGTCAAAAAGCATGAGTAGGCACCTACCATAAGAGAGCAGAACTGAACAGAGAAGATGTTAACTATCAAATAAAGTCAGTGAGAGATTTGGAAAAGAAAAGGGTCACGGTGGTGTGGCACTGTCTCAGAGGCCTTGGCAAGGGGGTACTGGTGAGCTGGACCCCAGAGGTCCTGGCCTCCTCAGGGGAGGAGAGAGAGCACAGTAAGCAGGTCCTTTTGTGCCCAGAGCTTCAGCCACTGGTTCCACTGTCCTGTCTCACCTGCTCGGCCTCCCTGTAAGGGACCTGGCCCCAACCGTGCTGCCGGGGGTAGTGCCCAGTGAAGTCCCTGAGGCTGATGACGTTGCGGCTATTGTTGTCAGCAAATGTGTGCATCAAACCCCCGGGAACTGGGCAGCGTCTCTCAAGGCTCCTGTCCGGTTTCTTGGAGCTGGCCTCCTGGCTCTGCAGGTTGGATACCAGCTTCTCCAGGGAGGCGTCTAAGATCTCTCGAAAATACTTCTTAAGGCCGGGGTTTCGCCTGATCTGAAGCAGAATTGAAGGTCAGGTCAGTGGGGCAGGCAAGAAGTCCCCTCTCCCCTCACCAACTGCCTCTTCCCCCAACTCCATGGGGGTGGGGGGGTGACCGGGGACTGGCGCCTCACCATCCCCCAGGATAACTGATGCTGAAACCACATTTCCTAGCTGTGTGATCCTTAAAAACCTCTGTTAGGTAAGTTGTTCCCTCCACCTCTCGTTGCTGGGGAGAAGAGACTCAGTGAGATGGGTTATGCAAATGCCTCTGGCATAGCAGATGCTGGGTAGATTCTAGTTCTTTCCCCAAGACTCCTCCTTTCAATTCCTAAATGTCTTTGTTTAGGATCCCACTGGCCGACCCAGTGGTGAGAACTGAGGGGCAGCTATCTCTGGGGTACATGATCCTGGAAGCACTAATGGAAGAATGGAAAGTTGGACCCCCCCGCCCCCTCCCCAAACTAATGTGCCCCTCTCCTGAAGCCTAATCCCCTGGGGGCATGGGGGATGCTGGTGTAGAACACACTCTTCAGAGCCATCACCCCAAGAAAGACCGGGCTGGGGCCTAGACACCCAGCTGCCCTAGGCAATTGGTTGAGGGCTGCTCCTGGGGGCGTGGGGGTGTTGACTCTGGCCTACTCTGTGGGTGGGAGATGAGTTCTGGGGGCCAATCCCCTGCTGGCGTCCCAGATTCAGCTGTGCTCAACCACCTCCAGCAGCCCCGACACTGACTCCTCGTCTCTCCAGTGCTCACATTTGACACCTCACATGCCACCTGTGCTGACTTCTCTTAGTAGACAGACTTTCAAGCGCAAGGAAACTTCTATTCCAGGCTGTCTGAAAGGGATGAAGATTCTAAGAGCTTGAAAGAGTTGGAGACCACATGAACGCGAGGAAGCAGTGGCGGCTGAGTGCAGCCAGAAGGGCAGGAGTGGTGTGGGGAGCGAGGCTTCCAGGGAGGTGACTCATGAGCTGAACTTCAGAGGACTTGGATTGGGGGAGAGCCTGGCTGGAAGGGTGGGGCGCATGTGAGCTTTATATATTTTTTAAACTAACATTTATGTCACTTATATGTGTCTGTGGTCAACTGTGTCACATAGGTCTTTTTCTCCCATGTTGTAAAAGAGGAAGCTGAGACTGAGAGAGACCAGAGAACATGTCCACAGTCATCCAGAAGGAGAGACAGGGATTGCACTCTGGTTTCAATGTCGGGTGAACAGGCCCCTTCACGGTCAGTTTTAAGAAAGGAGCAGTCTTGGCCCTCCCTGGTGGCACAGCGGGTTAAAGCACTGCACTAAGAAGCTTAAGCCATTTCCACATGAGTTCGATTCCCGCCTGCCCCGGAGGTGACCCACATGGCGTGACAGACCTCTCCTGACCCGCCCGCTGCTCCCCTCAGCAGTGTACTTCGTCGATCTGCCTGTTCTGCTCCCCACTCTGTCCCTGGTGAAGCCTCTCACCCTCCGCATCTCTGGCCTGTACCCCAGTCCTGTATAAATAAATAAATCTTTTAAAAAAAAAGAAAGAAAGAAAGGAGCAGTCTTACCTGATCTCTCAACTGCTCGCCCACTTCTTGGAGAATGGCCGCCAGCTTCTGGAAGATCTGCTCTTCTAAGGAAAATAAAGAAGGGACTGTTGACACATTCTGCATTAACAAACCCACCAATCACACCCACAGGTTAGCTTATAACGAGCAAAGAAAATTCTTCCCCTAGTGGGAAGCATGAGAGCTATTTGGGTTTGCTTAATAGAAACAGAAGACTTTGTCTCAGCTGTCGCCACATTATTCCATCTGACAGATGGGGAAACTGAGGTCTCCCAATGTCTCTTATCTAGGATTGAGAGTTGGGGTGAGAAACCATTCGTCAGAATTTTGGGAGTAGCTATTGCTACTGATACAGCAGCACATTCATGCCCACTCCAGTGTGCAAGTGTCTGCTTGACCAAGGGTTAACTGTAAATATTTCGGAAACTTGTCATTATATAAATAAACGGTTGGCAGCTTGCAGTTCACCTTGGTGGGAATATTTATAACATAGAAACCACAATTACTGCAAATCAAACCACGCATGCCTGCCAGCACACCAACAGGGGCAAGACCCAGGCATGCTAGGAATTTGATATTTCAGCAAGCCGATAGGTGGGCATGGGGCAAAGTCACATCCCCCAGAAGGGACAGGTGCTTTCTACCTGAAGAAGACTCTCCATCTGCCACTCTGCCCAAACAGCCCCAGTTGCAGGACCAGCCCCGACTCCTCCCTGCCTTCTAGGGTGTCTTGGGCTCTTGTCAGCTAACTTCCACTTCCCTACTGGGATTTCATCCATGAAGTCCTCGCAAAGAGGCGCCCCAGGACAGTGAGAGCAGAGGGTACTAACTAAATTCACGTGCTCCATCTGCAGGAGGCCCTGCTTCTGCTTTGCAGCTCCCGGGCTGCGGGGTTGCCTCTGAGGCTCCAGCTCTTGCACCTTCTGCAGGCAAGGACGCCTGGGGCTCAGGAACCATTGGCTCTGGATCTGAGGGCAGAAAAGAGTGGATTGTGAGTGGTTTGTACCTGTCTTGACTCCACAAACATGCTGACTCCAGGTTCTGATTAGAAGCTGTCCAAAGGTGCTGGCCTTGAAGGGTGCTGGTCCCCAGGCTCTTGCCTGGCTCCCCCAGAGACCTGCTGGACCCGCCTCAGACCAGAGGCTTTCACAGAAGCCTGGGTCCCCTCCAGAAGTCTCATTCTTCTCCCTCCCGCCAAGTGCCCTGCACCTGCACTGGCTGGAGAACAAGTAGGCTACCAACAGCCCACCCAGAGACTTGCTTCCCCTTTAACTCTGTGAGGCCCTGCAGTGACTTAACCTGACCCAACATCATGTTCCCCATCTGCTGACCCCGGGTCATCAAACAGACCTCCCAGGCCAGCAGGGAAGGAATGGGTGTGGCAGTGACTTGTGGGAGGCAATCCCAAAGTCAGGGAGATGAGGGTCCCAGGAGTCCTCACACAGTCAAATAGCAGAGGCCCAGGCCCTTCCCCCATCAAACCACAGCCTTGCAGGCGGTTCATGTGATATGCAGGCCCACGGCCCTCACACCCATTTGCTCTTAAGTGGTCCAATGGGGAAGGGCCAGTGGTAAATAGAGTGGCTGCTGCGGGGGGATAGCCCCTCTCTTTTCCAGAGCCCGCCCACATCTCCTCTCATTCCCCTGAGAACAGAGAGCAAAAGTCAGGACTGAACCTGACAACCAGCAGTCGCCAATTCTGCCTGCATAGAGCCTCCAGGCCAGAGGCAGCCTCTGTTACCCTGGCCACACCAGGCCCACTCACCAGAAGTGATGGAGAAGGAGGATCGCTGCCCCCCCATACACAGAGACCGGATGCTGGACCTCTTAGGGGGCCGGGGTTCCGGGCTGGCAGCACCAGCAGCCGCCACTTTTCGGAGATCATCAGGCCCATGTCTCTTGAAAGAAAAGCCTCTCTTGAAGGATATCTTTTTCTTCTTGGAGCTTGATGCTGGGTTTGGTGCAGCCACCTCTGGCGGAGGCACTGGAAGGCCCTGTGGGGGAGGAGACACAGAGTCAGGCCCTGACCTTGAGGAGGCAGGAGAGCTCCCAGAAGCAACAGAAGAGCAACCAAGTGCTCCAGGGTGGCCCCGGGGAGGGAGGCCACAGAGGCCTGGGAGGACAGGAGAGGTCGGGCAGGGCAAGGCAGCCAGCCCCTGGGGGTCCATGAAGTTCGCTCCTACCTCTTTTTCATACTTGTCTCCTATGTTTTTGAGAAATTCCACTATGATCTGGATGATAGCATCCTCTGGAAAAGAGAAAAGAGACCCAGTCAGTCTTTCTAGATTCAGAAAACACTTTCTAGATGCACAAGGACTATTTGATTATGAACCAACCTGGCCTCCTGCATTCAATGAGGTTCTCTGAAAACCTGGCCCGGTCCTTCTGAGAAGGTGGCCGGCCCACAGGGGCAGGTGCTAAGCCATTCCATGACTTTTAAGAGGAAACCTGTAAGTCCTCCATATGAACCCCACCCCTCTGAACTTTCAAGAGGCAAACACCTACTTTGGGTCTGGCAGGAAAGGCACAGTCTCTCCCTGACTCAGTTTCCCTTTGCTAGTGGGTGGCTTCCCAAGGGGGCACTGAGAAAGGAGAGGGGTACTGACTAGATTCGGAAACTCTGTCCTCTTCAGGCTCCTGCCCTCCTGGTCCTGGGGGACTCTCCAAGGGACTTTGACCCCCACCATCTGTGGCCCGGGCCGCTTGGATTTTGGATTCCTCCGTGCCTGAGGAGAAAAGTGAAATGGTAGGTGCGCTGTTCTGCTGCCGGGGTGTGAACCCCTGGACTGAGACAGCGGCGTGCAGAGACAGCAACGTGCCTCCTCAGCCACATGCTAAGGAGGCCTTGCTGCGGGGTGAGTGCTGGGCAGACCACCCAGGCCATGCTTCTGTGTCCCTTTGCAGTTCTATGTACCTGACCTTCCCCTTTCCCTCCCCAGAGCTCCCCACACTGCTCAGGGCAGAAGAAAACTCATCCCTGGAATGGCAGCTCTTGAAATGGCCAATTCCAGCCCTGGGGAAGGTTCCAGAGCTGAAACCAGATGCAGTGTAGCCGTGACAACTGTGGGTCTGCTCACCAGAACCGCTAGTAGTGAGATGCTGATGACACCCAACAGGCAGAGGCAGGAAGGTGGGCCTCTGGGGGTGCCGGGAGTCCACGTTGGAAACCTCTGCAGCTCCTCTTCCATTCTGTGGGGAGATAAGAGAAGCTGGGTCAAGGCGCTGATATTGAGGAGCCAGGAAAAGCTCCCCAGAAGCAGATGAGTCAGCAAGAGCTTCAGGTTGGCCCAGGGGAGGGAGGTCACAGAGGCCTGGAAGGACAGGTAAGGTTGATCCAGGAGGAGGGGTGAAGGCAGCAAGATACCCCACAAACATTTGCTTCTCACCTCTTTTTCACAATAATCTGCCACTTTTTTGATAAGTTCCACTATGGTCAGGATGATAGCTTCCCCTAGAAGAAAACAAATGGGCTTTGTTAACCTTCCTGTATGCACAGAGAACTCTTTCTGATGACTGGTTTGGATTGTGAGACCAACTTGGGCCTCCTGTATTTAATGAAAGTCCTCTAAAAGCAGCTCTTTAGACAACGGAACTGGGGAAGTCACCACAGGCTAGGTGTGGTTCCTTTTGAGAAGTTTGGAGAATCCACACAGAAAGGGTAAGTCAAAACATGAAATTGTATGCAAGGAATTTCAGGTCAGTCTTTGCCGTATTCAACTCAAGCCCTCTATTCTCTTGGGCCTTTGCAAATTAAGTATCTGTGTTGTGCATGCAGCTGTGTGAGCTTGAGTAAGTCTCTAACCCTCTCTGGGCCTATGTCTCTCCCCTTGAGAAATGTGGAGCGTCTTGTCCTGCTTCCCTCAGAAAGCTGTCAGGCCTTCAAATGAGAAGTTGTGCTTGGAGATACCCTGCTATGCTAATGCTGACCCCCCTGGGGGCATGAGGAGAACTGGCGTTGTTAAAGGGGAGAATGGAGAACTCCAGCAGGCACGTCAGAGGCAGCCCACCACACTGACACCTCAGCCTCACTACCTTCCCTTAATAGAGATGCTACAAACAACTAAACGATTTTCTTTGGTCTTCCAGTGGGCCTAGCCAAACTCAGTGGCCTTTGTCAGTTGCCAGTTAATCAATTTATTAGAAAAAGAGGAGCAGACAAGATTCCTGCTCCCTAATTATCTTCAGCTTTGCCCCTCACTCTCCCCCTTCATGTCCCTCTCATGCACACACCCTGATTGGCTTTCGTCTGAGCCACCTCCTCCCATAGGAATAAACAATTAGCATGCAAAATAAACACCCTGCGAACTAGTGAAATAAATGCCATTTATTTATGTGCTGACAATGCGGGGCCTCCATTTCACATCTTTTAAATAATTCCCATTCTTTGTAGGGAATTCTGTGAATAACGCATGATTGTATGGGGGCAGTACAGTATTGGGGTTGTGGATGAGACTATCCTTATTTCTTGGAGACATGTGCTCAAGTATTTAGGGCTGAAGCACGGTTTGCACAGACAGACACGCATGTCAACATATGGCCAACCGTTAACCACGGTGAGTAGATAGAATACATCTACTCTTGTATTAAAAAATGTAAAACTTCTCTCTTTCTTCTAGATTCCTCCTTTAAATTTCTAAAGGCCCATTCTCATTAACACATGAGGCAGGCACATGTGACCTTTCTGATCTAAAATAAATCAATGTGCCCAGAAGCACCACAAGAGGCACATTTTGAGAGCTACATTCTGGGCCTCGTCTTCCAGGACAATCCGTCCACTTGGTTTGGCCACCCAGCTGCAGGCACAGAGGACACCAGTAGATTCCGACTTACTGTCAGTATTCCTGGACATCTCTTCTGATGGATGGCCCGAGCCTTGGGGAGCAACCTCCGAGACGCCAGCGCCCTGGCACTGGTTGTGGCACGGCTGGTAGAGATGAGAGTCGTCCCCTCCTGGAAGGGAGATAAGAGCAAGTGTGGGTGGGCGTCTCGGGACTTTCTTCTGACTTTGTTCATCAGCCCAAAGAAATGGCACAGAATTCACAGTGGGACTGATACTGCTGTAGCCAGCTCTGGACTGAACCCCCAAAACTTGAGAACCTGCCAAAGTTTCCATTTGAAAAAAGAAAATCAGACGTCTTCTCTTCCTTCCCAAACTTCCTGGATTCTCCTCCACTCCACTCCATTGAAGACACGGGGAGCTTGGAGTGTTACCAGCCCCATGGGGACATCAACTCCAGGACCACAGAGTAGGAATAGGAAAGTGCCTTGGGGACCAGATCCCTTGTTTTACAGATGAGGAGTCAAAGTGTTACAGGGCACCCCAGTGTGAACTGGGCCACCTGTCCGTGGGTCCTCACTGCGCGCTTAAATTCAGTGGTATTGCAGGCGCACACAAAAGTGTCAATAATGGGTTACAAACGCGGAAAGGAAAAGGAACAACCCAGAGAAAGAGAGAAAGATACAAGATAATTAGAATATTACTGGCTCGGCTGACTTGGAGCTTTGGGAACAAACTAACTGAAAGCCCCTTCTTCACGCGGTCCCGAGAGCCACTCCCAGAGTGAGAGAGAGCCATGGGAAAACGGCACCCTATTTATCCCCCAAAGTCCCAGCATGCCTGCCTAGCTCCGCCCTTGGGTCCTCGCAGTTCTCTCCCTGGTACTGCTGGGAGTTGTAGTTTCCAATCACTGGAGTAGGGGGGAGAGTCCAGAAAGCAGGAGCAGGGGGTCCCAGCGGCCAGCTCCTTCCCTCCCAGCCACTCACCCCCAGTCAGACATATGGGCTTGTGTGGCGAGTGTGGGGTGCAACTCCCTCCTCCCCCCATCTTCCCATTTGTCCCTGGTCCTTGTTCCTCAAACTAGAACACTACATAATAATAATAATAATAATAATAATAATAATAATAATAATAATAATAATAATAATAATATATAGGACACTTTCCAGGTGCCACCACACGAGACATTCATTGCTTTATCTCCATTTTATCTATGAAAAAAATTGAGCTTCAGAAGAGAAAACCACCAGTCCCCAGGCCCCCAGTTAGTTAAGGGTAGAACTGGAGACTGATCTCCAGGTTCAGTCACTGTGCCATCCTGCCTGAAAGGAATTTCAGTGTGTTGTCCCTGCTAGTGACCCCATCTTCCAGGTCCCCTCTGTTGAGAGTTTAAGAAGCCAGCATAGAGCACCCCTAGCCCTTGGGGGGTGGGGCAGGAGGATCACCATAGAAATGTTTGCTCAGCTCACCTCTGCCAGCTGGGCCCTGGTTGGCCTCCTCCTTCGAGCCCTGGTCAACAGCCACCTTGGACAGCCCTGCCTCTTGGCCTTCAGCCTCCTGATCCTGGACCACTGTGATTTCCTCAGCAACAGGCTTCCTATAACTGTGTTTCTTGCGGCTGGCCTTCTTGTCATGGGATTTCTTCTTGTAGGCTAGCTGCCCAGATGCCTCAGGGATGTCTGTGGCCTGGGGGAGGCCCTCCTTCCCCTTTGTCCTATCGGCCTTTTCTTTGGGCTCCTCAGGACTTAACCTCAGGAAGCTCAGTAAACTCTTCATCCACCCCTGCTGGGTCCGCTTCTGGGCCTTGTCCTTCTTGGTGTCCTGGGGAGTGCTTTGCTCGCTGGGGAGAAGCTCCCAGGACACAGTCATGCTGGGCGTTGCAGCTGCGGGGAACTGAGTCTCTGCGGACTGCTCTGGGCTCTCGGGACTTCTGACCCCACTGGTCTTGCAGGGGGTGTTGTCCAGAGACCTGGCTTTCCCCGGTGGGGCTGAGCCCTGTAGGTGCTCCAGCGTGCTGCAACCAAAACAAACACTTCCCTGAGAAGAGGCCTACCAGAAACTGGAGGTGGGCTAAGTGCTGACCCCATGCCCAGCCAACACCCCACCACCCAGTATGAGCAGTAGCAGCCTCTCTTTGGTTTAAATGCCCCAAAACCCTGCGAGGCAAGAGTATTCCAGATGACACCTTGAAGAGCCCATTGAAATTTATTTTGGACTTCAAAAAAAAAGATTTATTTATTATGCATACAGAACTGGGGTACAGGCCAGAGGTGTAAGGGCGGTGAGAGGATTCACCAGAGATAGTGGGAGCAGAACAGACAGATCTATGACGTACACTGCTGAGGGGTGCAGTGGGTGAGGCAGGAGAGGTCTGCTGCGCAATGTGGGTCAGCTCCCTGGCTGGGGAGTGAACTTGCACTGAAGCTGCTGAGGCCAGTTTCATGGGGCTGTGCTTTAACGTGTTGTGCCACCAGGGAGGGTCCTACTTTGGACTTCTGACCTCCAGAGCTGTAAGGCAATGAATTCATGTTGTTCCAAATACATGGAGTTTATGGCATATTGTTACAGCAGCACCAGGACACTAACACAGCTGGAGCCAGAAGCCATGTTGTGCCCCTGGACTCTGGGCAGCTCATGCACCTCTTCTGGCCCAGTGTCCTCACCCAAATCCTGTCTGAGACTTGCCTGTCTCACTTAAAGCAGTCATGAGTGTTTGACAGGACAGTTCAGTAAGTGATAATTCTGTTCTTCCGACAGAGTTGAGATTTAGGCTCAGGCCAAAAAGTCGAAGCTCTCCCTGACTCCTTTCTCAGCACCACCTGTTCACGCCACTTCCAATGCATCATTCTGAATGCCTAGACCAAAGACTGGCATGTCACCAGCTCTGAGACATTAAACAAATGAGCAAATGCACAACACATATGCTTGATAAACTGTACAATATGTAAGTATCTTTGGCTATGTAGTCAACGTACAATAAACATACTTGAACCAAGCCTTTCTTTCTCCATCTGGAATTACAAGCTGCCCATGTGAAAGATGGAAGAACCACTTCATTCTGGACAGCACTTTAAGTAGGCCAGGTGTGGGCAATACAGTCTGGGCATCTATAATCAGAAATTCTGAGGACATATCAATTCTTCCCAAGTTGTTTAGAAACTCTTTGCACTTGAGGTTGAAGTTAAAAAGAAAATAAAATATGGTTTTTAATTGCAAGCTTGACTTCCCAGAGATTCCTATGGTGTTTAGATTCATGGACTGCCTTCTCACTCTAATTTGTAGGTATAGTCTCATCGTGCATATGAATATTATTTGCATATTATCTATTTATGTAATATTGTGTGTTGTGTGTGTCCAGCACATCTCCTGTATACCCAACTTATTCATTTAACATGTGCTCCATTGCTATAGCCAGCTTAAAGGCCCCCCACAAAAAGGTTAATCTATAACTTCAATTTCACAAGGTCGGGGGGAGTCCCCGTGAATGGGAAGAAGATACATAACGGGTAAGAAGAAAAGGTGCGAGGAAACAGACTGGAAGGTGACAGTGACAGGTGCCACCCCTTATTCAAGCTGGGAGGGAAGACAGAGAAGGGTGGTCAGTGGCCAGGGGCCCTGCTGGGCATTCGCACATGGAGGAAGCAAGCAGTTTACAAGGCTTTATTTGTTTGTTTAATGTTCCTTAAAGGGAACATCTGGGTGACATGAAAACTTCCAGCAATCTCTTCTGCACCTCATATGGAAGGGGACTCGTGCTCTTGAAAGCCTCAGCGGTCTTATAGTGGTGCTTCCAAATATGGTGGGAAGTGGGATAGGGACAAGAATCACAGGAGAACATACTTTTCTTCCTTCTCATTCATTTCTTTCAACAAACACTGAGGAGGCCCCACTCTGTACCGGGAATTAAGCTGGGGTTATGGTACTGCACAGTACCAAGGATTCTCCGGCCTTCCTCCAGGGACTGGAGCCGGGGGGATAGTGACAACTCCAGGAATGATGGATCCCTGCTGTCTCTCTTCAGTCTTAAGAGAAGTTCAATTTAGGTTGAAGATCTAATTGATTTTAAGGCCCAAGTTGAGGCAGAAATATTTCCTGAACGGCGCTGGGGTTCTCTCTGCCTTTTCTGTTTACTCCTGTGCTCAGGGGAAATTAAATGAGCCTGGCAGAGATGTTCAATAACAAAACACTGAGCTAGGTGAACACAAGCCTGTTCGACTTGACCCCCGACACCCCCCCCACCCCCCCCCAACCCCCGCTTCTTCCTTGGCCCCAGGGGGCCCATCACACAGAGGGCCAGAGCGTCCTTACCCAGACACTGGGAGAAGCACAGTAATCTTTTAAACAGCTACTGTTGCTATGGAAACGGTTTTCACCTTTGCTGATGGTCACCACGTCCTCCTACCTGATTCTAAGATCATACCACTACGTATCTAATCAGTGTCAATACAATTCCACCAAGCAATGGTTTGCCTTCTCAGCTTCTTTTCAAGAAAGATTTGGCCACCTTCTCCCTGGAACAATAGTGCCCTGAGCCAGAGGGTGTGAGGGAGACCAAGGAGAAGTGCCACACACAGAAGCTGGCACCTCAGAGGCAGGGGAGGGCATACGAGGTCTCCGTGACCATGAGTGCTTGTCCGCTGAAGAGAGACTTCAGGCTCTGCAAGGCCCCCTCATTCTGAATCCAGGGACCTCTTTCCATTCCTCATCCTCTCTAACGGAGCTGCCGTGTTTGACACTATGTCCGTTTCTTTCTTTCGATTCCTTCCTCTCTGGGCGGCTGTGATGAGGCTCAGCCCAGGTCTCCTAGCTCTGCTCTGCCTCCTCCTCACGTTCCAAAGATTCTGTCTTCTGATGCTCGGCCGGGACTGAGAGAGCTGGCGAAGCCACCCACTCCCAGGGAGACACCCCCATGGGAGGGCCTCTCTGTGGCCAATATGTGCTGAGACTGTTACAGCCTCTGAGACCTGAGAAGGTTGTGTTTTATTGTTATACTCCCACACCCTCCCCTTTGAATTCTATGTGTGCTGAAAGGTCATCTTTTCTGATTGTAAGTGTCTGCTTATGCAGAATTCATCACAGCAAGGCTTTCTTTTTTCCTTCCACCTTTTTCTTATGTACTCTGCTGGGCCCAAGGGTTCCCCCACATTGGGCCTGACAATGGGAAGCCCCACTCTAGCCAGGATGTGCTTCCAGGTGGGGATCCCTGAGACAGCAGCGGCTGGAAACCCAGCCGCTCTTGTCAACTTGTTTATTGACTTGGCAGAAAGTGGCTTTCAGAACAAAGTCCAAGTCTGACTGAAATACCCAAGTTATTTGCAAATGACCAGGCTTCTGATAAGACATGATGCGCTCCAGTGACGTGTTTAAAAACAAGAAGAAATTACCCAAGAAAACACGCAGAGCTGATCTTGAGTTACTGTGGGCCAGGGAGCTTGCTGGTTTCCCCTCAACATGCTGCTGTTTGGGTTAATTTCAACTTACACGCTGACCTCATCTGTATATTATTTTCTCACTTACTCACCCAGCTGTGTCCTCTGTTACTGCCCTGGTGCCATTTCATGGAGCTATTTTGCTGCTCCAAGCAGTCGGCCAGCCGCATGCCCACACCCACCCCTCCAAGGGAGACCATGAACAGGCTCGTGGGTCAGAGTGGACGCCTGCAGCTGCTCTTTGCTTCGGAATGAATGTTTGTGTCCCCCAAATTCATAAGTTGGATCCTAACGCCCAATGTGCTGTGATTAGGAGGTGGGGCTTTGGAGGGCGGTTGGATCATAAAAGCACCTCCCTTGTGTGGGGTGACTAACTGTCCGCATAGAGGTAGCAGGTAAAAAGAGTCTACAAACCAGGAAGCCCTCCCAAGACACTCAACCCAAGGCGCCTCCATTTAGCCTTCCAACCTCTCAAACTGAGAAACAAATTTCTGTTGCTTGTGAGTCACCCAGTCTGGAGCAATACCAGCCAGAACAGGCTGAAACACTCCTGTCAGGGAAGCACACTCACGGAAAACCTACATGAATTCACAACACATATGCTTTTCCCACTCTGAGTGCAAGAGAATGACTGCGAACATCCACTTGCCATCTGCCCTCCCTGTCTAACCCAAGTTCCACAAGGGAGGACCCGTGCCTGGTGATTCCCATGGTGCCCACGCTGCCTGGGAGCCTCCCATCTAAAGAGCACACAGAAACAGACATTGGGGTGCTGCCACCAGTTCCAGGGTGCCCTGCCAGCCTGCCTACGGTCCTGTGAGCAAGACCGACTGGCTGTGGGGCGCAGAGACCCTGAACACTTCAGGGATTTGCCCAAGGTCTCACAGGAATCGAAGAGCAGGGGTGGAGTCCACTACTCTGGAATCTAAATCTTTTCTTCTCTGTCCTCTACCAAATGGCCGCCCATAAATACAGACAAACACTTGCTCACACACGCATGCTCAGTGGTGAGGCAATCTACTATCTCACACCAACAGAGATAACTGTATCTACATAAACATTCTCTGTGACCTGTCCACACTGAATCACACATGCCCACATGGCACAGGTGCCCCGAATCAAAGCCTGGCAACATGGGGAGGTGGCCAAAAGCCTCTGGGCAAGCCTATCAGCAGGCCAGAAGGGCAAGGGCTGCATGCTGAGCTCAACATCATTTTCTATCGGCATAGGTGACCCCATAGATACTCCAAACCCCTGGGTGAGCTCAGTGGCCATTTGAGCTCCAAGCTGTGTGACGGCCATCACAGGACTCAAGCAGGGCACAAGGCAGGCCTCTCTTCCCGCAACCCTGGGCCACACCAGGTGGTAACAAGTCCCAGGTTCCTTCTTTGAGGAACCCCTCATATAGGTTCCTATGAGTGGGCAGAGACCTGACATGTGTCATGCCCGGCTGCTGGAGCAGAGGACTCCTCCATGCCACATTCCTGGTGGGAGGACTTCACCCTCTGTGGGAGCACTCCCCACAGTGGAAACACACCACAGTTCAAGGCAGAACATTCTACTGTCATCCAGTTGGATTTTAAGGAAGGCCTCCCTAGACTGAGTCATCATCCTTCACTGAGCTGGTGAGAGGCCACCTAACCCCCTCAGTGTGCTCTCTTCGACTCCATCAACCCCAATGTCCCAGCCTCTGGGTTGTTCCTCCAGTCACCCTGCTTCTAGACCAGTCCTCAGTGTAGGCGCCCTTCCCCAGATATTGCCTACTTAGTCCCTGTCCAATAAGAGCACGTGGCCAAGGCCTGAATGGCAAGTTCCATGGCCATGCCCTTGTTGAGTGGCCACATGATACTGTTGGGGTGTCAGCTCTCCCTGGGCCAGCCTGTATCTGTCTGTCACCATCACCACCAAACACAGTCATCACCATAGCCTAGTCTGCAGAAGAGCAGGGATCTGCATCTTTGGGGACTCTTACCAAAACACAAAAGAATGGCCCTCTCTGGTGGCGCAGGGGTTAAAGACAGTACTATCAGGTTATCACCAGCCACTGCAGATCCCTGGCCAGGGAGCTGACCCACATGGCACAGCAGACCTCTCCTCTCTCACCTGCTGCTCCCCTCAGCAGTGTATTTGTCCATCTGCCTATTCTGCTCCCCACTCTGTCTCTGGTGAGTCCTTTTATACCCCTACCCACCCATCTCTGGCCTGTGCCCCAGTTCTGCGTAAGTAAATAAATCTTTGAAAAACACAAAAGAATGGACTCTGTAGGGGTTAGATTTCTGCACAGCAGGGTAGACCTGGGAGGGGGCAGTGGGCACAGCACCCACGAAGCCAGAGAACTCCAAAATCAGTTCCCCCTCCTCTCTACTCAATACTAGTCTGTGCTCTGAAAGGGCCTTACTCTACCACGTGCTTCTGTTTCAGACCACAGGCAATGCAATGCTAGAATTCGTCCTTCAGACCCTCACTGATGGTGCAACAGGTTAGGACACAGCACTACAAGCTAGCCACCAGCCAGCTGCTTCAGTGTGAGTTTGATCCCAGCCTGGGGGTTGGCCCACATGGCGCGGCAGGCCTCTCCTGACCCGCCCACTGCTCCCCTCAGCAGTGTGCTTCCTCAGTCGGCCTGTTCTGCTCCCCACTCTGTCTCTGGTGCATCCTCTCACCACCCCTGCATCTCTGGCCTGTACCCCGGTTCTGTATGCATAAATAAATAAATCTTTAAGAGAAAAAAAGAATTCACCCTCCACTCCCTGGCAGGACAGCAGGTTACCTGAGTTGTCTTCAAAAGATCTCCTAGCTCTGGGACAAACTGTCAAGAGCCTTAAAAACATAGAACTTTGATTCATCCCCATCAATATGGTTCCCTCTACTGGATATGTTAGGCGCCCCCTTATCCCTGGGGGGGACATTCCAAGGCTCCCAGTGGATGCCTGAACCCACAGATAATACCAAACCCAATATTTACTATGTTTCTTCTATACATACATACCTGTGATGTAAAGTTTAGTTTATAAATTAGCACAGTAAGAAATCAGCAACAACAATAATAAATAGGACAGTAACAATATGCAATGATAAAGGTTATATGAGCATGATTTCTCTGTGTGTGTGTCAGAATATCTCATCGTACATACTATTTTCAGGCCACAGTTGGATCTCGGCTAACGGAAATGGCAGAGAGCAAAGTCGTGGCTATAATACCTTCACGCTGGTGTCTACAACTTGACCTCCACAAAACTATCGGGAAATGAGCAGGAGCCGCCGGCCCAGAGAAGGAAACAGGCTGAGCAGAGACAGAACTAGGCCCAGCATCTGGTGTGGGTCTAACCTCCATTCAGTACCCCAAGGAACCCCCCACTACTCCTCTACCCAATAGGAAGAGGGTCATTCACCGACCTCAGACCACGCAGGCGGCTCTGGTCCCCGGCCACGCTCTGCAGAAACATCCTCACAAGGGCGCTGTGTGCTGCAGTTGGGCTTCGCTTCTCCGTGCCCGGGAGCTGTGTCTGCTGAGGGGCTGTAGGTCCAAATGCCCTGGGAGGAGATGCCACCGTTGCTGCTCCCAATTGCCAGTGTGTCAGAAGCACTGGTAATGGTCAGATAGGAGGATGCATATATATATACACCACACACACGTCTTGGTAGCTGAGCTCATGGGACCTGAATCCAGGGACTGCCCTCGGTCCAATCCAGGGACCGCCCTCAGTCCAATCCAGGAACCTTCAGTGATAGGAGGCTTAGCTCAGCTATGCTGGAAAAAAAAAAAAACAGTTTCACTCGACAACTTCCTTATTACACCCAAACCCCAACAAGTAGCTAATGTTCAGACAACAACCTTAGGCCTGGCTGGAGGGAGGCCAGGCTGTGAAACAGAAATCAAGCCTTTATGGGAAATGCAGGTGCAGGAAGAGGGGAGGAGGAGATGGATTATCACCTCCACACCCTCCCTCCATTTTCTCTAAGGAACTCCAAGAGGGAAGGATCCAGAAAGAAAGGTGAATGCCACACAGATACTCCTGGACCTGGAGACAAAATGCGGAGGAAGATTTGATAAGAGACATATTTTCCAAATTGTGGGTCTGGTACCATCACGCAGCTGGGGGCAGTTCCAGGTCCAGGAGACTCCAAAGTGTGGACTTTCCACAATTGCTTTTTAAAAAATTAATCTTTTCCCTAATTTAATTTTAAAATTTCCCCATTCCCCGGGGCCCTGCCCCTCCCACCTTCTTCTCAGCCTCAGAGCCCTCACAATGAGTATGGCTGTCCCTGG